TTCAATGGGTTAAGCATCAGCTCGCTGAGCTAGAGAGATAAGTAAAGCCCCTGGCAACAACGCTACTTTTTCACTTTCAAACAAACATAACGTAAAGAAATGCTTAGGATAATGAATATGTGAGTTAAGAAAGCAGGAGAAGAAATTTTTGTAGGGAATTCAATATCTGAGTATAGAAGAACAACAGTATTTATAATAAAAGTTAAAGAACCGGTTTTGCATCTGAATAAATGACATCTCTAGATGGAATTAATATATTGCGTTTGACCATTTGAGATTAGTAACTCTCCTTATCAAACAATTCTGGTCTCATTACCAACTATTCTAGTCTCTTCCACTAGCAAACAACAAATAAACAATGACTTTGGAATGTTTTCATACTATCTCTGCAGTTCAGGGTTCTTTTGTTTGCTGTGATTTATGTGATTTCTTTACTTCTTAGGAGAAAATAATTATTTTCATTATGAAATCCTCATTTAAGGAAACAATTTCTTTTGGTTATCAGTTCTTGATAGAAATTTCAGGATAAATAGGAGTTTCTACAGGTTTTGTTCTTGGAGAGGATCATCAGATCTGCTTGTTAGAGCATATAGGCCTTATTGTCCTTTCATTTCAACTTGTGTAAGTCAGACGTAGATCCACTAAAATCCCTAGAGCTACATAAATGTGAAGCTGACTTTAAAGAAGGCTGATAGGTGCCAGTGACCTGGATTTCACAGAATTTGTGCTTTATAGTCTGTGACAGCATGACAAGACTTGTGCCTCCTGAGCCTCCCACATGCCTACTAGTCATGAAAGTGGCCTTTTAGTATGATGAAGTAAAGTTTTAGTTTGGGAACTAGGATAAGGCAATTTGTTTTCCAAATATCAGGAACATAAGACTGTTAAGAAGCAACTGCTCAAAAAAAAATTATATATAAGGTTGCTGAAATTGCAGATAGGAGTCTACCTCACATTAGTCATTATCAGTATTGTATCTGTGCATGTAATTACAGTTATACAGGGAAATGAATTATAGCTATGTGTACACATGTCTAGAAATACCAGTGAGTGGGTGGGTTTTTCCATATACACTGTCAGAAATCCTTTTACAAGGTTGGCATTTCAAGCTAGCAGCTAGAGTGTACTCCAGTGATAGATTCTTTGGGGATAAAAATACCGTCAAATAAAGGTTCATACATCATAGAAGCATAGAATACCAGGTTGGAAGGGAGCCCAAAGGTCATCTGGTGCAACCTTTCTTGGCAAAAGCACAGTCTGGACAAGATGGCCCAGCACCCTGTCCAGCTGAATCTTAAAAAGTGTCCAATGTTGGGGAATCCACCGCTTCCCTGGGGAGATTATTCCAATGGCTGATTGTTCTCATTGTGAAAAAAATTTCCTCTTGTGTCCCATCAGAATCTCCCCAGGAGTAACTTGTACCCATTACCCCTCATCTTTGTAAAACGGGAGTCTCCATCATCTTTGTAGCCACCCTTTAAATACTGGAATATGGTGATAATATTTTCCCTAAGCCTTCTGTTCTCAAGGCTGAACAAACCCCATTCCTTCAGCCTTTCCTCATACAGCAGGCTTCCCACTCCTTTGATAATCTTGGTGGCCCTTCTCTGGACCCTCTCCAGCCTGTCCACATCTTTTTTGTACAGCATATATGTATTTCCATACGTGTGCATGTGCACGTAGATCTGTAGTAATCCCTAGTGTTCATACTTAAATACTGGTAATAATATGTATGTCATTAATGAGTTGGTCAGGAGCAGAGAGGTTTTTTCTAATAAATTATTGATAAAAATTAAAAGGTCATAAATATATTTTCTGTTGGTAACGTAATTATATTTAAAATGAGTACTTTTTAAGTACTCATACCAACTATTTTCTCCCTCTGTGTTTACACAGCTATTCTTTGCTCTTTTCTAAATTACAGTGAACTAATAATCAACTGTGAACTAACAATTTGCATAATCTGACTAGCTAAATGGTAAACTCATGGGTTTTTTTCCTAATATAGAGCCATTGTAAAATTTCCCTGTTACAGACTATTCTTTAGTTAATTAGATTAGATTATTCAATATCTTTGAAAATTAGTGTTCATTAATGCAAAAAATTAGTGGTGTTGAAAGACCTGTAGAAAAACACGTTTTATTAACAGAAGCACGTGTCTTTTTCAGTCTAATATATGCAAGTTCACAATATCCCAACAATTGTTTACAGTTGTACTAATGGAATATATCTGATTAAATGGAATCTTGGAACCAGGCCAAGGTGGTCACCCATGATACAGATGTTTGTTGTGCATTTGTTTGGAAGGAAATAAGTATCTGGACTAGTTCAGTAGCAGTAGTGAAAATTTGTAATACAGGTGATGAAAAGATGACAGCCAGCAGAGTGTGAACAAGGAGGATTATTTTACCTTTGTCAGGGAAGGGAATATGGGGTGAGTCCCATCGGGAGAGAAAGTGAATGAACCCTGATTTGGAAAACACTTTGCTTTTAGTTTGGGAGCAGTTTTAGAAAAGAAAGGTCTCTGCTAATTCAGAATTAGAATGGGAAACCCTTAAATCTGACTGAATTATTTTTCCCACTTTTAGTTGCTGAAATTAGTAACACTACAAGGCAGAGGAATATGAGAAAATCTTTGAGCCTTCTTTTACAAATATATTTTATTTTTATCACAGTATCATGGGTAATGCTGCTGTCAAAGTTCTTTTACTTGGTTGGCCACACAATATTTTACTAGGCTGTCCACAGTATTTTCAGAGATGATCAGATTGGTTCATTCATATTTAATAGTGCATTAGCAGCAGCAGCAATCTGGCATTTATTATGCAGGATTTTACTGAAGCTCTTCAAACAGATATTTTGCTGTAGATGTATGCTGTTATCTCTTACAGTCCGCTTCAAGAAAATATGGGTATTTCTAGATGGTGTATTTTCATTTTTGTGGGTTCGTTAGACTAGATTTCAGTGTACTCTAAGGAGGACTAAGTTGTTTGTAGCGCTCAGGAAAGCCTATTACAGTTTTGTATACTCAGTTGCTCAATGGGGAGCTCCTACCTTTGCCAGCTTTCAGCAAGGTACATAGGAGATCTCCCTGCTTTAAGTGTAAGGGCAACATTTCACTACTTTTCATCAGCTAAGATAATCTTATTTGAATGGTAACCATCTTTGGTAGTCACATTTGCTTGGATATTTTAACTGAACCAATTACCAGAACAAGTAAAAGGCAAGGCTTTTAGTAGTAAATAGCATTTAATGCAGCAACAAGAGTTACTTGTAAAAAATCCTAATTATGGTGGAAGGTAAGAGACAGGACAGCCTATATAAGTGAAAACTTTTAAGTGTGTGGCATTTATATTGTATTGTAGGCAGTTTTGCCATAATGTATTCTCTGCTTGAGCGTGGGTTAACTGTGGCAATGTTTTATTCCAAACCCAAGCATGTCACAGAATTACCAGCTGCAAAATCAGAAAGAGTGCTTAGCATTCTTTGATTTTCAGCCCTACCATCATTACAGTGAGCATTATGAAAATTCATGTACTGATTTAGTGATCCACTTTTGACTCTATATAGGCTGCCTGTACCTTCATATGCTTGATAGTTTGGAAATAAATCTTTGCCATTAATAATCCTACTGTGTATGTTCACCATGTTCTGGCAGCAGGCTGATTCTCCTTTGGATATGAGGAACGCTTTGGGTATCAGGAATGCTTAAGAGAAAAGAAGAAAAAGTAGGCATGTAGATCTACATGGTCCTGCTCTGGGGAAAATGTCTTTCTGACCTTAGGTTAGACAACTAAGCAGGTGATGAACAAGACTCCTCAGATGTTTTAATATTACTGTGGTATTATCAATCCCCTCCAAACTTACTAGTTATTACCAGGGTAACTTGATCACTTAAGGGTTTTTTGCTTGCTTCAAGTGGTAAATCATCTGTTATCCATAGTAGAAATGGCCTGGTGAAAGATGGCAAATGATTCTGTATGTGGGTACACCAGGGGGGGATATGCGAAGGAGGGAAGTGGCAAAATACATGCTTGTCCCCTGAACATTTTAAAGTTTTCTTAGCAATGCATGCTGTTAGAACATACCTGCTTTGCAGCTCATGTGGTTAGACAGACCCAGCAGACTTCCTGTCTTGTATATGTGCAGCATGCATCAGTTTTGTAACACTTCTCTGAAGTCACGTGTGATCAGATATCTTACAGTATGGCTACAGTAGTGATATTAAAACACACAAACATTATACTTCATAAAAAAAAAAATCTGTTTCTTATCTGGCTATTCAGAAAGCATTTAGAGTAAAAGAGTTTTCAAGTGTGAATTTCTGCATTTATAAATCAATACACATTCATTTTAAACATACTTTTTAAATTTCAAGATGAGAAACTTTTTTAGCTGTGGGAAAACTTTTCCGTCATAAAGCTTGGTTTAAAGTCGCAAAAACAGTCTGAAGTTTTTATTTCTAATCCTGAATCACTTACTACTAAAATACAATGTTCATTTCCAGACCTCAGAGGAATAACGAGTGTAGTAAAATGAAGTTATGTAAAGCTATGTAAGAATCATATTAAAGAAAGTTTTGATGCCACGTTCATCATTGTTCTTAAAATCCTCTACAGTTCATTCTTCTGAAATCCTGTATTCTTTATTGCAGTATTTCTCTTTTACACTTTATGTCCTTTCAAATATTAACGTTTTTGCAAACATTGACATTCTAACACATTTTTAGCTCCCTTCTTAAAGAGCTTTGATCACAATTGTACAGCAGCTTAAACTATATTATAAGTGCAGATGCAAGTTGCTTTAAACACGTTCTTCACTGTGACATAACATTTAGTTAGAAATAGAAATAAATTTTCCATTTCCTTTTCCTTAGAGTTACAGAATGACTACTGTGGTTTCTTTCTGTGACTTCTTTCGCTGCAGATACTGCTATGTTGGTTGCACCAAGGAAGTATGGTCTTTAGTTGTGCTTAATACTATTTGTTTTTCTTCTGCAGAGAGCAGGGGACACTGTCAGTGGAGATACAGAAAGGTAATTACTTCTCTTGTTCTGTATTTAAATATAGACATAATCTACCTATGTATTATACTTACTTATTTACGTTTAGAAATTTAGTTGCAATATTTGAGGGATAAATTTTCAGGTTCTGGTGAGAAAAGCATTAATATGCTTTAGTAAATGTCATAACTTCCGTTTGCTAACTACATCAAATATAAATATACAATTTAAAGGTTGAAAAAATACTTCAGATACAAGATTACTAAAGATTAGTAGGGAGGGAAATTATACTACTACAAAGTAGCAGATGTTTCCCCCATCTTTTTTTACTTTCAAAATTTAGTATTTCAGAATCACTCTGAGGATGAAAAGCATAATTCACATCTAGAGTGACTTTTGGAAATAACAGGCAGAATTTTTCAACAAACATCTAAATGCTAATTCAGTCTGCAGAAAAGTTACTGTTTATATTTGTGGCTCATATTTGATAAATACTAACAATGGAGATTTCAGTTTGTCCCTTACAATTGAATTTAATCAACTAATTCTAATGAATAAAATAGTGATTTTTGTCTTTGTTTCCTTTACAGTTTATCTGATGAAGTATGTTTATATTCTACTGCATCCAATAAGTCATATTAAAATAATAAGTTTGAAATAATAGATACTTGGCTATCACAGAAAGGTCATAATTAAGCTTGATTGGAATCTGTTCGTATGGATAATTTTTCTTTTTACATCTTTTCTTCCTGCATATGGCCTAAACCTACTTAAGAAGCTAAACCATACACTGAATGTAAAATAATGAATTACATTTAGAGTGCTTTCACTAATCTAAAGGATTTACAATCGATTATTTTCTCCAATGGTGTAAATTACAGCTAGAAGTCTGAGGTGCAACAACATTGCCTGTTGATCATCAAACACAAGTCACCTCGTGTCGGATTTTTCAGGATTGTCAGCATTTTTACCTCTTTTTATGTGTATTAAACATGGTAGTTCATTTCAGAGGCAGTTGTAATAGTAAGAATTTGCTGATGTTTCCTCAGCTGTAGGGTGCCGTGCATGTTTAAAATGGCATTCAACTAAATTGAGTAGCACTGCTATCGCAGATGACAGTGAGGTAAAGATGGAGTTTGAAAGACTTTTTCTAAGGTAAAGTTCTACTTCATCATATAAAAGACAGTCTTGCTTCTCTGTTGCCGCCGTTGTAGTAGTCCATTACCCCTTAATTCATTACCTCAGCTAAATATAGATTTTTATTTTTACAGTAAATTAAGTATAGTCCCACTTAGTATTTAGTCCCAATTCAGAGCCAAAGCAGCATCCATCTTGTATAAGGCGGGGGTTATACGCAGGGGAAAAAGTGTGTCATTCTGTCTCTTTTTAAGTTGCAATCAGATTTCCCCTTTTACCCTTACCTCTGATATTGGAGTTTTCAGAACTTACTGTTTTCTGTCAGCCTTATGTATTTGCTGCTTTCCTTTAGTCTCCCCGCTCTGCCACGCCAGGTGCTGTAGTCCTGTTCTTCTCTCATGCTTGTTTCTCCTTTTGGGGTATTTTTTTTTTGTCACTCCCTTTTCTCACCCTCCTTCATTCCAGTATGGCTGCTCCCTCCCTCAGGTCCTTCCTACCTGACTTTCTGCAACAGAAAGAAATCACAGACCCCTCTCAAAATAAAAGTCATACTTCTCACCCCTTTTTTTTCTTCCTTCTCCACACCCATAGTTTCTTGCAGTTGCAAGGAAGAGTTGCAAAGGAATTTTGTTCTTCCGAGATCAAAGCATGCCTGATTATTCTGGGTGGATTGCACATGCTCAGTTTGGCAGGGACATTATCGTCCAGATGGAACAGCCTTGGTGGACAGGACACAAGTGTCTAGCAGACATCTGCCAAGAGATATTTTCCAGGGACATATGACTTGACGAAATTTTGGCAAACTTTTATAGCAAAAGGCTATTCTTTTCTATTCAAGCAAAAGGCTGTTCTTTTACATTCTTTTACAGAATGACTCTCCCTTTCCTAATCCTTCTCCCACACATTTTACATTTCAGGTCCAAAACAGGACCATTTTATATCTTTTCAATATGTTGAAAAATATTTTAAAAGAGGAAGAACAGTATGTTCTTGCTCCTAATAATCTTCTTTTAAGTGGTTTAAACAGCTTAAAACAAAATAAAACTACTTCAGCTTAAAATCAGCTGAGACAGGCACTGGTTGAAGATTTTTATTGCATATAGTTAGGTTTGAGGGATTTGAAGACAAACTGGGTAGATTCACATATTTAGATGAAATAGCATTATGTTCATTAACTGTACAGTTGCCTATGCAGCTTCTGTGATACGATTGCATCCTTTTCATTAAAAAAAAAAAAAAAAAAAAGCCAAAAAGCAGAAGAAAGATGCTTCTTGTACATAGTAGAATGTACCGCATGCTGTAGGGAATATATACCGAAAACACTAGCAGCTATGTGAGAAATTTGAGACTCCAGAAAGTTACTATGAATATCTAGCTTTTAAAACTCTTCAAATGAGCGGAACAAAAAGCATGTCTAGCAGCCTTGGGTTTTGGGGGTTTTTTTTAGCCTTGAGCAGAATAGAAGCTAGGTATTTCTGCATTACAACTCTGGTTTCTTCCAAACTCTTTTGGCACATCTATATCACGTATTTGCCCCAGCACTATGCACAGGGCTAGACTTTCACCATCCATGCTGAGCACCCACACCCCTCATTATAAGGTACTGTCCATCCACACATTAACCTCTGCCCTATCTGACCAATGCAGAAAATCTGAGCTCTACCTTTAAGCAGTCTTGTGGCTAGAAAATCCCAGCCACAGGCAAGTTGTGACTCTTCACTTCTGAGCAGGTGTCATGATTTAGGAAATTACACTCTGTAATTGGCAGTGAAATCACTAAATGTGTGAGTGGTCTGAGGTTTTAGGAAGGTAAGCTAAATTAAATGTTTCTTGAAGAAGAAGCAGCCAATTTGTTTTCCTTTTTACCAGAAGCAATTTACCCTGCTTGTTATTGTTTCACAATGAGAAAGGGGTAACAGGCATCTCACTTGTAGTCCCTGCTGCAGCTTTTCTGCAAGCAAACATCTGACTATATGCTTAGCAGGATTTGTTGTGCTCTTTGATCTTCATTTTCCTCTAGGAGAAATCTTTTTCTAGTAATAGGAAACCTTGACATCTATGGATTCTAGGCATACGTGCATAATGTAACCATGACATAGCTACGGAGACCTTGGGTTTGAAGATCTCACTCTGCTTAGCCAACCACACAGGCCTGCAAGGGCCTGCACAACGGCTAGTTGAATAAACAGTTTTTATGATGATTTGCACTTAGTTTCCATGTGAAAATGCTGCTTGGGTTCTTTCTCATAACACATTTTGTCTTTGTAAATATTAATGCTTAAAAATTGTTTTAATCGTGTTCACAGTGTCATGCTTTGGAAATTATTTTTTCTTTGAGTTGTGTTTAATGCTGGAGAGGTTAGAAGAGATAAATATTTTGAAAATAACTTTTAGTCTTGACATTGTTTTGTCAACTTTGCACTTACACCTGGATTGCAGTGACTGCCGAACAGTACCAATGCAGCTGAGCTAGCTGGCTGATACTTGAAGTATCAATAGCCTGTAGCATAGTTCTCAGCCAGTAGCTGAGCCAGCATGGAACTGAGAAGGGATTTCAAATCTCACTGCAAAATACTCAGTAATTAATTTGCAGTAAGAATTTACTTGTTGTGACAGGAATAGGTTACATAAGCTATGGTGGTTCTAATAACCTAATTATAAGTCATTAATCCAGGCAAGGTGGTTATAATTGCATTCCTATGACCAGATAGATAAATCCAAATTGCTACACATATGTTCTTGTGAACCAGCCATAAGGAAATTTCACATTGTACCTACAATATTTTTCTGCACAAATATATTTCCTAACATGCCAATTCTTTTCTTGCTGAAGTTAATTATGGTGGCCTTGACCCTGAGCTGCAACGAGATTGCACTTGAAGTAATTCAGAATGTGAGATATGAAGGTTGAAGAGCACTTTGCATGCCCCTTGCATCTGGAAATTTACATCTCCCAAGTATCTGCCAAGTAAGAAAGAGCAGGATGATAGATGCCATCTTCTAGTTGTTCTTAGCTGCTGTGGATGGGTGGAGTTGCTACTCAAGCTCTCTGTGCCTTGAATCACCATACGCTTCTAAGTATCCAAGTGGCAGCAGGGACTAGCAGTATATTTTTGAATGCAGGCTTCACTGTTGTCCATCATGTTTAACAGCTTTGAAATTATTTCTTGATCATCTGTGCTGTGTACTTGAGATCGTACATTTATGGAACCTTATGAAACAGGAGCCATCCTACAGAGGGCTAGCAAGGAAAACTCTCAGAATAGTCTGTTTATGGACTACATCAACTTGGAATTCCACATAGGTCGCCAGTCAGAATGCTCAGAGCATGTTGTACCATGACAGAACATGAAATATGCTGCCCAGTAATTTATACCCAGTTATCTCTGTTCCAGGAGTGAATTCTGGCAAATAGCTGTCTTTTTTTACCTACCGGAAAATTTTATAGATTAAAAAATTATTGCAGATTGGAATTGTCAAAAGATAAGTTTGGATTGCTCTGGTCAAATAAACAAATACAAATCAAAGAAATTATTAATATTGGATATTATCATTTAATCAATGGTAAATACATATTAGCATATGTTTTGTTATAGTTTTGTAGCATATTAGTTTGTTATAACTATAATGATTTTATATTACTTCTAGTTTATAAACCTATTCATTACTGCCAGAGTAAGAGCTTAAAAACATCAACAATGTAGATTGTGACTATTACAGATACCAGAGATGAGGTGAAAGGTGAGAAACACTCAAAGGAATTATTCTTGTTTCTAGACTGTATTCATTCAATAGGATTTATTATCTGTATCCTGTCACCTGGGGAGAAGCCAGGATGATAGCAATCTAATAAGATACATCAGTTTGTTCTGACACAGCTATAACTTTCATTTAGTGATGGATTTAAGGACCCTGAAGGTAATAGAAAGAGAATTGGGATGTTATAATTAAAAGCACTGATAATGTGTAAGAGCCATTTTATTCGATCTTCTTCCCAAGCATTGCTTATGTGATCAAGGGATGCTTAATTTGTACGCAGCTGGTTAAAATCAGTCCTTGTTTTCAGTAGATACTCTAGAAATTTTACAAGCTAAACCACTATTCCTTACTAGAGTTTATGGAACAATTAGACGTGTTGTTACCTTTCTGTGGTAGAAAATGAAAACATTTTCCTCAGAAGGAAACGAGGAGTCAGTGTCAACGTGGAGGTGGTATTCACAGCTGCACTTGTTAAGCGATACTTGTTTCACGAAGAAATAACAAGTCACTTCTGTTTGCTCTAAGAGGAATTTTTGTATGAACAGAAAATGCAGGATACTCAGAATTCTGTTGATGCTCTTAAATGGATTTAACTGCTCTGACAGCAAAAGTGCAGAAATGTATGCAGCTACACTGTTGATTTCGCATAGTCAGTGTTTGGTAGGTGGCAATTCTCAGCATTCATTAGAAATCTTTTACCAGGTATGTCTTTACATTCTGACTGGTTACGGCTTTTATCAAATACATCAAACTGGAATATAGTACTTCTGCTATGCCCCATACTTCTAGGTTTTTTCCATTCTAATTTGTTTTCTAGAGATTCATTACTGCTGTTTTCTAATCATGCAACACTGTTCCTCATTTTAAATCCTGATTACAAATGTTATCACTAGACTTGCATTTCATTTGCATGTCCTTGAAGATGCGAGTTGGAAGTTACCACACCTACTCAAGTCCTTTATATTCTCTGTGTTTTGCTTCCACCTAAGTCAAAGTCATTTCCATCTCTTTTTAGCTCATTCTTGTTAACCTTTCTGCTTGAGCTCTATCTTCAACGTCATCCTTCTGGTTGAACACTGAGTCAGTGTGCATCTAGTACTGAGATCAGAGATAGACTGTATTTAATCCTGATCTGTGCTTGCTTCTTAGTACCTGTATTTCTCTCCCTTTTTATATTTGTTTCGTTTTGGTTACAAGGTATAATTTAGTCAAAGTTCTGAAGAACAGATAAGGAGGGAGGCAACCTCTTTATGCATAGACATATGACACGCAGCAAGGCAGAGCATATCAAAACTCATAACAGACATGGCTAAAGCCCTTTATATTTCTGCCAAATAGGAATACCTCAGAAATCCATTTGAGGAAAATTGTATGATAGAATAAATATTTTAGAATGAGCTTTATTACAAAATTAAATTTCATTTAAACTGGCAGTTATTTGCGTAGTATTTTGTCTTTAAAAATCGTATTATGCAATGAAGGTTTCTGCAAACATCCTGGAAAAATTGATTTGTTATTGTTCTCTTAAATTGGTAGAAGTTACTCATAAGTCATGGGTCCTCCTTTTTCTAGATTCTGCAGTTTGTTTCAAAACCAGGGTTTTACAAGAACAAGAGAACAAGCATTTAGTAGAGGATCAACTGTTTTACTTGATTTGAGAAATATCAGTCCAGGCCATTATAACCGTATCGCCGCTCATGCCTTTTCCCCACCCCCCTTCATTCTTTTGCCTTCCACTTCTGTAACCAACTGTGTTCCTAAAAAGAAAGGTGAAGAATAACTCAACCAAATATGATCCAGAGTATTTCAACCAGAAGAGACAACATACTAGGGTTCCTCCATGTCTAAATTAATTGGTTCTGTCACTTTCACACAGATAATTTACTTGTCTAAAGAGAAGAAAAGATCGGTATTTTTTCTTCCGTGATCTGTAGATCTGAATTTTTGAGGAATAATTAGATGATTCGGGGAGGAGTATTTGATAGATATAAAATCTTTAAAAAAAAAAAAAAAAAAAAAAAAAGAAAAAAAAAAGAAAAAAACCCAAACCTGCAGACTGTTGAAAACAGTTCCTAAATAAAAAAAATTAAGCTCATTGTACATTAGAACACCTATTCCTGAACTTCCATGAGATTTCAAAAGCCTGATTGCAGGCTGCTTCTGTAACTTTACAACATTTTTGCTAGTAAGAGTCTGTGATTACTGTAAGGGGACACATTATTGTGTTTGCATGGAAGCAAATACAACTTGACTAAGGACTTTTCAGATAAAAACACAGATGTATTCTTCATCATGTATATTGGCTGAGAGAAAGAACGGGAGCATTGGAACCGATACTTTCCAGATGGGTCAAAGCCATGATTAAAGAAACAGACCCGAAATCGGGGGAAATGCCCAGCAGGACAGAAGTGCACTTATGGCATTCTCATGGGCAGACAGCAATGGAGCATTAATGACAAAATCTGCCTTGCAGCAGTTTGGGCGTCTGTCCATTCCTTTACCAAATGTTGGAAGTTGAACTTTCTTTGTTTTCAATCCTTGTTTCTTTCCATCCTTGTAATCTACAGACAGCTCAGAACTTCAAAGTCTTGCCTATTAACTTTTATGATTTTAATTTTCATGTTATGCACCCCATCTTTTCAGTGCAGTCTGGAAAGTTCCTTTGACTCAGGTCTAATAGGTGCTTTTAACTGACAATGCAGTAGTTGTTTCTACTGCTAAAATTGATTTCTCGTAGCAATGGAAATCAGCAAATGAGAAAATGCCACTTCCTGTCTTGCTGACGTAAGACAGATATGATTATTATGACCTGCAGAATTTAGGAATATGTTAAAAATGTCCACGATCCTTTTATTCCTTTTTAATTTTTCCCCTCAATCCTTTCCCATTCTTGGGAAATAAATTCTATTTATGTGACATATGGAAAAACATCCACATTTTCAAGGTTTTCCCACTTCTCCTTTTCCTTACTTTTGAAAACATGAGGGGAAGTTGTGTGTCTAAGAATTTCTGTGCTAGATCAGACACAGTTGGCCCTGATTCAATGTCCTGTTTCTATCAATGGCCAATACTCTTTGTATTAGGAAAGGCCTCTGATGATGCTTCCCTGCTTTGTTCTCTGGCCTTTAGAGAATTCCAGGAGGATACTCAGATATACCAGAGAGAGTATTTCTGCATTTCAAAGTCTGGGTAAATTTTTGGTACCCATAGCATCCTGTAGCAAAATGGTACAGAACTCTGCTGCAGGATGCTGTGAATACCAAAGATTTTAATTGTGTGAGTTAATGAATGAAGGTTCAAAACAAAAGTGGCTAATTGCTAATTTTATATAGCTTATATAGCCCCTTTACTCAAGGAGACATTGAGTATATATTCCCTATTTGCTCTCTTCAGAACACTCCTGAGTTCATAAACCTCCACAGCATTGCCCTCGGTTGCCTTGAGAGACAGCTGAGTTTCTTCTGTTTCCCTCTATCCTCTTTGATGCTAAGGAATCAGAACTGTATGCTATTAAAAATTTTGGAGGACCACTGCTATGTCTGTACCTACCTAACAGCCTTCACCATTGTAGTGTTTCAAAAGGATTTAGGAATACAACTGCTACTCACTATGTAGAGACAAATTATTGTATACGTAGTATTTATATGAGAAAGCTATGCAGAAAATGTCCCCTTAATAAGTGAAAAATTCACAAACAGGCATACTGAATTGGGACTCTCTCGGGCTTTTCCCTTTCTAACCTAAAATATTTTGCAGTGCCAATGTGCCAGGACACTAATCCCACATCTTCAGAAAAGTGAAACTTTGCCTGGACCTTCTCCAGGGATTTAGAACTTCAAACTGCACCCTGCCATAGCCTTTCTGCAAATTGAGCAGTATGCCTGTTTCTTTAATACAGGGATCTTGATGTTAAAAAGCATGACAGCTAAACTGTAGCAGTAGTTGGAGCCCACATCAAAGTTAGTTTGGGAAAGTTTCATAGAATCATAGAATGTTTTGGGTTGGAAGGGACCCCTAGAGGTCATCTAGTCCAACGCCCCCGCAGGAGCAGGGACACCGCTAACTAGATCAGGCTGTTTCCTTGGTGTTTTGTTGCTAAGAGTTTCTGTTCTTTACATGAGGATTTCTGGGCCCACGGAAAATGGTCACCACACCTCCTTCCAATAGCAAACGTAACCGTTGCATTCCTTTTTTGCCAGCCAAGAAGATACTGTTGGGAGATCAGGACTGCAAAAATACTATGTTTTTCTGATGATCTAAATTTTCTAATTAACTGCTAGATAGCTGTGGTGTTATGAATTTCCTGTTTTTAAGTGCTTCCGGAATATGAAAGAGGAGGTGGTGGGGAAAGAAAAGAACAAAAGAAGATATTAGACTTTGTCTCTGTACCTAGCAAACATAGCTGATAGTCAGGTCAAGTTTGGCCTGATAGTTACATCTTTATTAATGTCTGAGTGTTTATACACATGCTTACGTATTGCTGAAGTTAAGATACCTGAAAAGTAACTCAAAGGAAGACACTTACTAAGCAATTTGGGTTATCCTGGATTTGATTCTGAAATTACATGTGAATTTACTCTTAAAATCGCTAAATGATTTGTTTTTATTTCTGCCTTTTTCATGTTTAAAAACACTAATTCTTTCCCATTTTAGCCTGGACAGCAGGTAGCAGGAATCCACTATACCTATGTCAAATGTTGATGCTGAAAGAAATGCGCAAATAAGGGTTAGCCCAGCAACAAAGAATGAGCGATTTAAATGTCCTAAGACTCTATTCCCTAGGAGAGAAGAATTGTGTTGGTTGCTGCTCTTAGCTGCTGATCAGGGTTCAGTATTTTTAGGCCAGCGATTGAATCGGAACCAGATATTCTCAGATGATTTAGGTGTTCTTCAGTCAGAGTATTAAGAATGCTTTTGTGTTTCTTAATAACATTAGCACTGTTCATTGAAAACAAAGGCTGAATTTCCAAAGGGCGCCCCATTTTAAGTGCTGTATTTTAAATACCTTTGATACATGATTACATCTGTAAGCATACATTTGGAAGCGCACAGAGTGTATGTGCATATGCACTACTTAGTTTGGGGTTTTTTTTCTGTAGTTATTTAACGTCTTTCTTCCTCTCTGTCCTAGATATGCAAGTTCTGCCACTGACCGTCAAGGAAGCACATCCATGAGGAAGGTAATGATTTACAAATATGCTTTAAATAAAACCAAAAAATCCCCAACAGTTCAATTCATTGTCATATTTTTAAAAGATACTTAAGATATCACAAACCTTGAAATTTGTCCGTATTATGAAACAAACGAAAATAAAAAGCTAGGAATGATTTCCGTATTCAGAGAATTGGCTACTGCAACTGCAGCAGGTCCAAGTGTGTGCAATACTTGTAGTTAAGATTAGTAGGAACCTTAGTATGTGTTCTAAGGTATGTGCTACTTTTGAGAAGAGAATCATAGAAAATGTCTAGGTTGGAAGGGGCCTCTGAAGGGAAAGTTGCCCTGAAGGTAAAGAAAATTTTAAAAATTCTTAAATTGTATGAATGCTATGATAGGGAGATATGGGGTTAAGATTTTCAAAGATTTTTGTGGTACCAGTTTTGAAGGTCTTCAGTGGAAAATATCGAGACGTTATTTTATTATTTAGCATTTTTCAAATATTTCATACAGACAAACAACAGAACCTTCATTTATAGGATGTCTGTTTCTTCATCCCAATTTAGCACTTTTTTCACTACGTAGGTGCTAAATAACTTTTGAAACTTGCCAGATGTCGTTCTGCCTCCCAAATATTTACAAAGTGAGGCTAAAGACCAGTGGCAATAGGAGAAGATGCATGACTAAGTTTTCTGCAGTTTGTGAAAACCTGCAGTTGTGTTTATTGATGTGCTATATCTCCCAATCCCTACCTTGCCTGCTGCCTCCACTGGAAAACCCTTGGACCTGGGGCTGTTCGCAGGGACCCTGCTATTGCAAGTAATCTGATACACACAACCTGAGGAAATCAGCACTATGTGCCCTCTGATTTGTGTCTTTTGCTAGTGAATGCACCAACAGCTGTGTTTGGAACTTGTTAACGGTTTTCATTAAAAATTCCTAAGGCTCAAAATAGCAGATACGCATGCAACCTGGTTTGCAGTAATAGGCTTGGTTCCCATCAGCCTGACAGGTAACCGAATCTCTAGTCTCCAGGGCATTTTTTTAAACATAGCATAACTTTTCATTTGGTGATACTCCTCCTACTACACTGTGATTATTTTGAGGTCTCATTAATTTAGCTTCATGTAGCACAGACACCAGTCTATATCTTTTTTTTTTTTTTTTTCTTTTTTTCTTTTTTTCCAGGGTCTGCTTCTTGTTGGGTTGAGGTGGGAGGGCGTGCATTTTGTTTGACATTCTACTTTGTGTTGTGGTTTTGAGATGAGACCTGAAATGCTAACAACCACAGTATGTTCTCATATCATGTGTTTTTTCCCATAGCAACTCTGAGTCATTTTGAAGTTGCAAGTTCTGACTGTTTTCTTACAACATTACCACAAAGTTAATTATATAGTAGTGTCTTTATCTCTCAGAATATGAAGCTTGAATTCTGTAAGTTAGCAGTGCTAATTAACTACTGATTCCCAAGGTATTGCAAACCTTTCACTTTCTCTAGTTTTCATACTTTGAATACATTGTATGTGTGCATAAACAGAACATAGTAAGACTAATTAACTTTTGTTTTTAGAAGAGCTAATATTTTCAGCTCTCCTTGATTTGTTGTGCTTATACTTTCATTATTTTAAAAACTTTTATATCGAAGGATGCATACCAGTTTCTGGTGAGTATCCTAATGCATATAACCTCCAGTTTTTGCATTTTTCTTGCAGTTCTTTAAATTTAATCACATATGAAAACTGTAATTTAATTACAGGGTTTTATTTCATCACTATATTTTTTAGCCTAAACTGTGGACAGATTTGGTGATCTCTTTTTGAGAAACAGATACCTGCTCTCTCCTAATGCAATTTTATACAGAAAGAGGAACACTGAACAGATTGTTTCAGTCACAGTCACCACAGAACTCCAGTTGGCACAATATGACTGACCAGTACTGCTGCTGTGCAGATGCAATACATCAATTAAAATGTTGCTGTACATCTTTAATACTATCTCACAGACTTACTTTTGCTTTTTCATTTTCCGACTGTTTTTTACTGTTTCCCTCTAGCACAGGAGCAAGCATTAATCTTTGTCTTCTCTAGCGCTCAAAACAAAGAGATAAATTTGCAGCTATCAAGTAAATGGAGAATATGTACTGTCTTATGGTGATACAACGCATATATACACTTACAGAGCTTGTCACTTGTCAAAATTACAGTATTTTTGTGAAGCATTCATATGCTGTGGCTGACTGGGCGAACCATCTGAGATAAACAGAACACAGAAAGCTGGTGTTCTCTGAACCAGCTCTCTTGGGAGTCAAGAATTGCTGATTTCTGCAAGTCACTAGAAAATGTTCATGCTGTTCAACGCTGTAAACTGGCTCCATTGCAGAAAGGTTACAAATAGGTCTGTGCATGTGCAAGCCAACTCCCCCCTCCTTTGGTTCTCCAATAGCTGGAGTCTTGTTTTCCGCTGTTGCTTTTCTACAGTGCTTAAGCTGTAGTCCTTCATTACCCTAAATATTAATTTAAATATTTTTTAATTCTAATTATAATCCTCAATTATTTTAAATTTTAATATTGTGACATTTAAACATGTATTTAATATGTTGTACCACAGTTGTTAATAAGGACTTTCGTAGCATATGTTTGCTTTTTGACCACCCGGTGAGGAGCTGCCGTAAGGTAGGATAAGCAGTCAGATGATCTGTGGGAGAAGATAATTATCTGTACTCAAACCACTAGGAGATATCCCTGCCAGTAACTAAGGTGCCCTTCTTCTAGGCCCTCTGCTGAGTGTTATCTGTCACACAGGAAAAATCAAGAAAATTAAAAAGATGGCCCTTCCTGTGCTACCCTTTGCCTGGATCTGTTGGCTTATCACGCTGTGAATGCCAGCTGGTTTTTCTACTGGTAATGGCAACATCAGTTGCATCAGGCAGCTACTGCGTTGTGTTGACCTGTAATTTTTCCCCTAGCATTTACATTTTTGCAGTAAATCCTTACCATCTTTTCAGTTGTATCCCTGTTTTTAAAAGGGTTAAATAATGAGGTGGTTTTAGGTTTTTCTTAAGAATCTGTAACGATTTTACAATGTGGCCACAGAAGAAAGAATTTTTTTCTCCTAAGAGTTGTTCTGTCAACCTACCAACCTAACAAACTTAATTGTACCTTAAGGTTGGAAACGGTTAAAGAATGTGACTTCAGCATGTGATTGAACACGTGACTTTGCACATTAACTGTATAATGTTTGTGGTGGATATATCTTTTTGAATGAATATTTGTGTAACTACCTCATGTATACTTATAACACACTTCAAGTATCATTCATTTTATTAGGTCATTTATATGAATTTATATCCTTAGTTTTCAAAATATTACATAACCATTGATGCAAAGAATCCTTAATGATTTGATTGCAATGGTAATAAATAACTGGAAAAAAAGGGATTTTAATTTGAAGATTTAGCACTGTGTTGTTATCTTTATGATGCTTATAACAGTAGTAAGAGGAAAAATGACAAAAATGAGATCCTATGATAACTGATCCTATGATAACTAACCCTAAGATAACAGTGGAGGTGATAGTTTCATATTATTGCTAGTAACTGCACTGGTTTTTCATATTTGTTTTTTTCCCTTGCAGTCATTCCATTACGCTTCCCTCAGGGTAAAAAGCAGAAAATGGTCAAAAGGTAACTTATTTAAGTTAACGTTCTGAAACTAGAAAATTAGACTTCTCTGACAATAACTGATCTGGATCAAATGGCAAAGTTCAACTTAATTCAAATATTTCTAAATTTGATAGTAAACACCAAAGTAAATCACAATATTAAAATACCAAATAAATGTGTTATAAGGTATAATATTGCTACACTTGGTGGCAAAATTTCCTCTGACTTAAGTAGAAGAAAAGTAGTATCTGTGTATTTTGCCATTCCTTCTCCTCTGTTTCTCTATCTATTCATGACCTATTTGAGACTGTTAAAACAATGAACATATGAAAAATAGTTACAGCATAATAAATTTGTATGAAAGTGTATGGCCAGTGAGCTCGCTCTGTTCTGTTTGTTGGTCTAATCTCCTTTCTATGAAAATTTTCCTTTTGTTGTACTATAAGTTTTTAATACTTTTAAACCTGACCAGGACACAGCACAGTATCTTATTCTAAAAAGAGCAAAATGTTAAGAACTTGGTTGTGGAATGCTGCGGAACAAAGGATGGTGTTTTGATGTTATCTAAATTTCTTCACTGTTTCACACCTGTAGGACCAATATAATTCTTGTAGCTATATAGACTTGATTTTTCACAGAAATATTTTAAGGAAATTTCCTATAGAGTCTTTTTCAGGAAAAATGATACCATAATTAAGAAAAAACCCTGTTCTTACAGATATTTACAAGGCACACTAAAATGTTAAGCCTTTCAATTAGGATGTATTGAAATGACAATGACCAGAAAAAAAACGCAAACCCTTTTCCTGGTGCTGTGCCTTTAAACAGGATGCAGTAAAGTTAAAATATTGTTCTTCAGGGTAGGGGAAATGTAAGTGTGTGCATTTTTATGGGAGTGGATGATCTCTCTTTTTTTATTGACTATAAAAACTGAGGTAAAAAATTCCCAGAATTTGACAGGCCTTCTATTGCTAAAAGTAGTAACAGAAGTTATATGGAAGAAGTGGTGTTTACATCTGTGTACAGATTATGTCGTACTCTGAGTTTCTGACTGAGGGCTAAATGAATACAGTTTTACTTTGGAATGATGATCCCCATCTCAATCAGATAAAATTGCAGCCCTAAGAGGAATGAACCCTCTGGAAATTAAATAAACCATTACATAAACCAGGCCCTTTTTGGTTTGTATTCATGCTGAAACCAAAATTGCAGAGCATTGTTGAATTTGGAAATTGTTCATTCAATCTCCTTTCCCTGAAACTGGAGAGGATTTGGCTTGAAGGATTTTGAATTGAATCATCGTTAAACACTAGTAGCCTGTATAGGATAGTTCTTTCACTCTTTTATTCAGTGAGATGTCTCACACTATTGCCGCGTTCTCAGGGAGCTCTCTAACAAGTGGGAGCAGAAGACGGATTTCATGCAAAGACTTGGGGCACGGAGATTGCGAAGGCTGGCTATGGAAGAAAAAGGATGCCAAAGGTTATTTCACACAGAAATGGAAAAAGTACTGGTTTATTCTGAAGGATTCATCCTTGTACTGGTACACAAACCAGAATGTAAGTATATTCTATGTTTGGAGAAAGTCAAAATTAAATTTTAAGCTTTATAATTCTTCTGAATAAAGTCTATTTTTACTTCGTGGTAGGATATGTTAGTGAACTGCAGTGAACTGCCACCTGAATTGCCAGGTCTGGATCAATCTAGCTGGAAATATTTCAACTGAAATTTTTTTTTTTAAAGTCTCCAAAGTCCATGCCCAAACTTAATAAGAGACTGGATGTTCATGGCACTCTTAAAGAAATTCATGACAGTAGTTAATGCTTTTCCACTGATACTATTTATTTGGACGAACACAGTGTTCACACAGAGCTCTCCTTAGTTTCAGTTGTGTGGGGAGATGTATGCAGTGTAACCATTCATCTTAGTTAAGCATTATGTGAAGCAGATGTGAAAAATCTGAATTCGTGGATCTCTTTATCTGAAAGTTATTCTTATATAGATGTTCCTCTTGCTTTTTGCTGAATTAGTCTGGAGTTAGCAGTTTCTCATGTGTAAAACGCTGCTCTTGGCGAAATGCTATTGAAAACCACTGGGCCTACGCCTGTGCAATCTGCATATATGTAGGAAAAAATAATGGAGGGGAGAAGCCAAAAATCGTTAGACTGCTATTCTTCCGTTTGTATGCATCGAGCCTCAGTGCCTGATCCAAACTGTCTGCATACAGCCTGCTTTGATTACTGATATTTTAGTGCATATTTTCCATTTTCTTTAAGAGGACAATTTTACTAGCATAAGTATCCTCAGTTTTAGTATTTTCTCATCAGCCCAAAACAGCATTGCTTCAGGCTGCGGATGATAAAGGCCTTCAGGTTTTGTGTTGCACATTTTGTTTGTTTGACATTGTTACATGCAAGGTGGCAGTCATTCTGTGTCCCACTGATTTTCAGTCTGTTGTTTACAGCCACACCATAATTCATAGTACACTTGCTAATACTTCTCAGAAATCTGACTGGTGTTAATACGCCTCCTTGCTTTTCCTGGTAAATTACTTCAAAAGAAGCAAAAAGTGGCAAGAGATACTTTCTAGTTATTACTTTTCCATCTAATCACTGGTGAGCTCGCTGTAGGAACCTCCTCAGTTATTATTAGCAGGGCAGATGGTCTGCCCAATCGTGACTTTAAAAGGAGGCATCCACGAAACAGTTTTAAAACGTAGACTCTATGATGAAGAAACTGAGAATTCTTCTCTGTAGCTGTTGATGTCTCGAATGCTATGTTAGGTGCTGTATTTGGTGCTGACAGGTTTTCTGTAATCTTCAGCAAAGGGGAATTAGGATGGCTGCAGTTCCTTTAAGAAACTGTCAGTTTAGTTACTTCATAATAGTCACTGATGATGAAGTAAATACATTTTTGGTTTTTTTAAAGTAAAAACATTATGGGGAAAATCTGTTTAGCATTTCAATTGACTGGATGGTTGTTCTTAATGCAAGACCCAAATGGCTAGTGCTCACTTCTCTCTTCTTTAACTCTATGTTCTTCTTCACCGTCACTCTCTCTTCTCTTTTCATAGGATGAAAAAGCAGAAGGGTTCATTAGTTTACCTGAGTTCAGGATAGATAGAGCAATTGAATGCAGAAGAAAACAGTAAGTAATGTGTCAATTACGTTTATAAATTGAAGGATCACTCTTAGAAGTGTACTATATATAGTACAGAAAATTTGCAAAGCCCAGAGAAGAAGTTACAGAGTAAACTTTGAAATCTGTAAACAATACATAACAGATCGACTTAAGCTTTAGTGCTTCTCTTTATTATAAAAGATACAACTTAATGTAAATTCCATGAACTGTCTTACAAAGAATTGGGATAACACTTTGGTCAGCTACCCAGATAGCCCAGTTACAACTTCAGATAAATAAGCAAAGCAAAAAACAATGACTACATTAGCCAAGAGATAAAACTGTCTTAGGCTCAGTATGGTCATCCTGATAAGAATCAAGTGTGCAAGAAACAATTACCATAGGAAAATACCGTAGCAAGGGACAGTGAATATAATCTCCATTTTCTCCTTTATGGACAAAACTTACATACCCAATATTGCGTTATTCTCAACTGCTAAAATATTTAGGTTCCATATGCAAAATGAACATTGTGTTATTGCTTATGTGCGTATTGCTACTACTGCATTATGCTCCCAGGAACAAGCATATGCTAAGCTTTACCACACTTAAGGCGTATTTAATAACAGACACTCATTGGAAATTGCTTGCAAGCAGTGCTGGGATTGGGATTCATAGCTGTCAAACAGCAGGTTTAACAGAGCTGTTCTAATGCTTGGAGACCAGCACTTTGCCAGCATCTCCTGAGTTATTTGCTTGTGTCTTCTGTATGCTGCACCTGGATTTTTAATACTTGCTGCCGTGAGGAGCTACATAGAATAGCATTAAAGATACTCTCTTACTAAAGCTTTCCGAGTTATAACTAAGTATGCTGAATTTTTGTTGTGCTTTTCTGATGACTGAATGCAGTTCTGGTCTGAGGAATATAAGCCCTACAACTATGAATGCGTGTACAGTAAAAATCCTGAAGATATGAATTACAATAGAGACTGCTCATCAGAGAATCAAACTTCTTCAATTGCTTGTTCTTGTCTGGAGGGATTATTACTGTCTAAGAATTAGAAGATGGTGCATTTATACTTCTATTACTCCTTTCAGCGGAGGGTATCACTGTAGAAATTAAACATGAACTGAGCACTATAAATTCCTCTGAGAAATGAGTAGTTATTAATAACGATATTGAACAAAAATATAGGAAAAATAATACCCTTTTGTTAGGATATAAAACACTTAACACATTTCAGTGAATTAACCAAGATCAAACAGAAGGTCATTGTGCACAGCTAGAAATAGCTTCCAGAGCTTTTCTCCAAGCATTATAACACATTTCCTCAGAACGCTTCTTAGAGAACAATTTCTGTAGGGTATATGAACAGGAAAAAGTCTGATTAACTAAAACTTTGCACGCTACTGAAAACTCAGTACCTTCAGGCTTCAAATCCTTTCAAAAAAGAGGTAGGTCCAGGGGTAAAAGTATAATGAAGATGCCTAATAGTGTATTCCCTTTGTTCACTGAGCTGAATTTCCCTTTGATTTCTTCCTTCATGCACTATCATTTATATATTTCCCCCATTATAAAAACTACACCTTACATTTGCCACTGTTTTACCTGCTCCTCTGAAAACTGCAAAGTAAATCCAGCGTTACACTCACTTGCGTTTCGGTATATCCAGCATATATGAATGGGGGGCCCTGCTTGTGTTACAGCCAGCTCCAATCCACAGTGCGCTTCTGAAGCACGTGCCTGTCCTCTTCTATGTTATCTTACCGAGGACAGGACTGAGCATGATTGCCATTGCCTGATTCCACTGGAAAGCTGGTGGTTCTGGTGAGCCTAGGGACAACTGCCTGTGCTTTGATTCTTCTGCATTCCTTTTACAAATGAAATTAAGGGGATAGTGACCCATTTTGACCCAACATGTTCTGGAAAAGTTCTAACTCATAGTTCATTATTCTCTCTGCTCTACTAGAGGGAAACATTTAAGTTAGGATTTGCTTACCTCCTTTTCAGAGAACTAGTGAAAGACAGATTTTACAGGATCAGTTCTCACTTCTTTCCACTTTAGGATATCTTTTTCATTTAATAGTGGGGTTTTTGTAGGTGCTGGAATGTAACCTAAAATTCATTGCAAGCTTGAAATCTGAAAATATAAATCTGGCTGTGTTCTTACTCGCTTCTATTTGATTGAGTCCACTTTAACATTGAAGCAACAGCTAGTAAAGCAGTTACCTTAACAGTTAATAAGGAGAGGGGAAAGAAACCTAGATCTTTCTTTTTTTTTTTTTTTTCTTTTTGGTAGGTTCATTTGTTTTTAAATTAAAATGTCCTGAAAAGTACTCTTAGTATCTTAATGCTTAAAGAAGGCCACTAAAATCACAGTGTTAGTTTTCCTTCTGCTCTCTCAAAAGCAAAACTAAGAACATTTTGGGACTCAGCTTGGATTTCCCCTCAAACTTCTGTTATTTTCAGAACCATCAACATGAAATGTTCAAACCTTATTGAAAAAAAGAATTTGAAGTCTTACTAGAATAATTAATGGATTTGTCTTTTCCACCATTCTGTCAGATGGATAATGCTGTTTTATAGAATGACTATTATTGATGTCCATAGTATACATTGAATGAAATAGCCTTAAGAAAGCTTTCACAAGAATCTATAGTAAATGGATGCATTATTCTGTATGGTTTGATGATCTGCCTCACTAATGCATTTAATGAAGGTACAGTGATTATTATACAAATCATGGCATTATCTCAAACTGGTTTAGCTCTCCAGGCTATATTTGGATGTAGAATGACCTTGTCCCTGCGAGAGGAGGTTTCTTGCGTTAACAATGAAAAAATTTCCACTGCTTTTAGGCAACACCTGCATCTTCATGATTAAACCTGATCACACCGTATTAGAAATCTTGGTTATTTAAGTTTGTGTAATGTGGCATGACATCAATATCATGTTATTTTCAAAGATACTGATAATTATGATGCCCCAGGATGAAGTTGATCCACAAGGCTAAAGATTAATGGAACTATGTATATAATTAATCATTGTTAACTAGTGCTTTGCCTGAACTTTCAAAAATCACCTAGTGATTATTATTCATATTTGCCTGTAGATCTAAAATTATTTCCCTGGAGACTTTTCTGCAGTTCTTAATGCTAGTCTATCTAAATGCTTCTCTAATAATAATCTTTGTGACACTTCTGGGAGATGAAGATGGATTTATTGTCACATTTTGCACCCCAGAAACAGAACTGCAAAAACATTTAAGTCAAAAGTTTCCACAGAATTGGGATCTCTATTTCATAACAGTAAAGACCTGTTTTCTTCAGAGTATGTAAGTATATATAACAGTACAATACATTATTGCAACTCTTAAGTGCTCTCCATTTCTGTAAATTATCAGAATATCAGACAAAAAGATGTTAAGGAACATTCATGTATTAACCAAGTCTGATAGCTGTGACTTAGCATGCAAGAACTCCTTTGCAGGAGCAGGAAAACCTGCAGCATTTAACTGATTTATTCTTGCTGTCTGCATTTTATGACACATTCCCAAATTCCATAACAACTGAGGCAGGAGTCCTACCCAAAGTAGCCTTATCTGTTGCATACCCCAGTTCACCTCCCTGGCAAAGTCCACTCTGCATGTTAATTTTGGTAGGGTTCCTGTGAGAATGTAATATTCAAATACATAATCATAGATTGTATCACATTGCAAGAGCACAGTGGAGCCAAATTTAAGTTGTTTATCACAATAACTCTGATGTATTCTAACTTTTAAAAGGTTGACTCTGAAACCCCAATATTGGCATTTTAATGTTTTCATGTATGTAAATTTCCTCTCTAGGAAAATAATCCTATTTACAAGCAGAAACTCCATCATGTGATATTCTAACAGGATTAATCAAGAGGATTAGAATCCTTAGATCCACCACATAATCCTCTCCAATTCGAGCCAATACTTAAATCTCAGAGCTGGAAGATGGTTGGGCAAATGGAACACTAGAAGGTGGAGATGTTGCCCAGAGTTCAGACCAACAGAAAACAGAGTCCTGACTTCACAGCAAAAAACATATCTGTGGAAATAACATATCATGCTTAAATAGTATATCAATGCAAGAGTATTTGTTTAGTAATGACTTTCTGTTTTGAGTATTAAAAATTGAGTTCTGTAAGGAGGTACAGTATTTGTTAATTACTGTGTAATTAACAAGGTGTAACGTACCACTCTAATATATGTGTGTGTATGTGTGCATAAAGATATATACAAAACTATTTCACATTTCTTATTCCCAGACAGATACCATCTGTTTTGCTAGAGCAGTTGGAGATGCTGCTGGCATAAGGGGAGTAAAAGTTCCACGTTAAGAATAGGAGGCTAAGAATATTTGACACTAATCAGGTGAAAGAAATCCTAAATTTGATCAGAGTATACTTAAAACTATGTTTATATAATGAGCAAAATCTCTTGCATTCAAATCTTAAAATTCAGTACATATAATTAACAAGCATGTGCCATCTAGTGGGCGTCAGAAAAGTTTCCTCCCTGTCCGGGATTTCTCACATCCTCACCATTTTCATTTGCAAAATACAAGTAGCTAGGGAGCTGAGGATCTGCAGCTGAAATGATCAATGTCCAGATGCCAAGACAATACTTAAATACCTCTCAGGTCTTTTTTATGGGATTAAAACATTTTATGATGGTAAACTTACCTTTAATATACTTTAATTCCATGAAAAAGGAAACTGCACATAAATGCAACTCTGCTGTTACCTCATTTTTCTGTAGAACTTTTGGTAGGAAAGCCTGTTATTATACATATTGGTATTAATAACATATATAAGAATCAGTGTGCCCAAGTGAAGCTTCTTCAGCTTTCATTTTTGTCTCTGAAAACTGCAATAAATCATAGTAATTAATAAAACGCTCATTTGCATTTAAGCTTTTAATAGTAGAAACATTGCATCACAGGTTTTTCATAATGCCACGTGTAATGATTCCTAATCTAATTCTTACATCTGGTAATTACCGTATAAATGTCAGTATTTTAACGTAAATGTTATGAATGATAGTGTGGGGGTTTTTAACATTTGCCAACTAATCAAAATAATAGTCTTTAATGCTCTGAGTTTGTGGTTTCCTTGACAGCAATACTCCTTTTAATTATACTCACACAAAAAAAAAAAATTAAAAAATATTACTGTTCTTAGCAGTTTTCAAATAACTGCTCAACTGAGGGAGAGCTTAGGGATTATACCATATAAAAGCATTAATAAAGAGCATTTTTATGTGAACTATAATCATCCATGCTGTAAGATTTCGAGCGTGATTATTATCTCCTGCATGTAGTCTGAATAGACTCCAAAGCAAAGTACTGATGGCTGCGTGCAGCCAGTCTGAATGAGAATCAGACCTTGTCTCATGAAATTGGTAACACAGAATGGAATCACACTGCCCAAGTGGCTGGTGATGGAACTGACATTTAAGGAAGGAGAAAGAATATTAGCCATGCACAGAGCAATGTCAGTCTTACAGCTACCTCTTGTCATGCAGCCATTCAGTACCTCAGGTCAGCGTAGCCAAAAATATAATATATTATACTACTAATATTGTATTAGTTGCACAAGTAAAACAGTGCAGACTTTTAAAACTAAGTTAAACCTATTGGGATGTGCTTTTGGAACTGTTCCAGTGATTTCTGATTTTACTTGCACTTTTCAAAAAACTTCATTCTATAAATTAACCATCAATTGCATCAATTTAAAATCACCAAAGTAAAAAAAAAAAGAAAAACCAAACCCACAGATAGCTTTTGACTTCCTGAATCGAAAGCTATCTGTGAGAGCAGACTGTGCAATAAAAAAAAATTAGTGAGAAACATTGAACTGACCACGGATTATAATGTAATAATAAATAGAGGTTTAAGCCTAAATATTCACAACTCTGTTCTTTGCTAGGTGGCAGATGAAGAAACATTTGCTATTAATGACTCACAGTGATGGCAGAAAAAAATACAGAAAAGATTAGTAGATTAAGATGAAAAGTACCTGGGATATGTTTGGGTTTAGAGTAACGACAAAGCAATTGCTGGAATTAGAAGTGACTAATTAGAGTGAAGACTATTTAAGGAACTTCTTTATTATTGTCAACATCCAAACAAAGCAAACCTGCCAATTATATTCTCTAGAACTTTCCATATGCATCTCTTAAGCTAAATGGAATTAAAATTCTATTTAGGGATTAAAAAATTTTGTATTAAATTTAGGAAACATTGATTTATTTCAGCTTATTCTACAGATCTTAGTTTTATGATTAAGTAAAGAGAATTTTGAGAGTGCTGTATTCTTAATGTCATCTCCACTTGAATGCAGTTACTGGATAGTTATTTCATCTTTATATTCCTTCTCTTCTCATTTGTTAAGGCAAAACTAAATTTTGGATAAATTCATGTATATCTTCAGAATCAGAATTACAGTAAGGATATGAGACAGTTATCACACAAGTTGGTAGCCCTCTATATTTGTTTGAGTAGGACACAAACCATAGTTATCTGAATATAGGAGAAGAGATGGAGGAATCAAACTTTAGATATCTTTGGAATACAACTAATATGTATTTAAATACACTCAATAAGATTTTCACATTCACCCAAGAAGTTTTTAGATGTATAACATCACTAGTTATTGAAATGATTTACATTTCTAAGTCATTCAAGGGCTTTTGAAATTTTTACAGAGTACCGGTTAGCTTCGCAAATGTAGACATAATCAGATCAGTAGGAATCCGCCTGTAAGTTTATCCAGCAAGATTCAGACTGAAGATTCAAAATGCCTGTGAAACCTGTAACATGCTGAAGAATCATAGAGCAGCTCGGTCTTGCATACTTGTAGACTAAGTGTTTGAAAGAAAAGGTATTTTTTTTATTCTTTGTGCTTATTTTTTAGTGCCTTCAAAGCATGCCACCCCAAAATAAAGAGCTTCTACTTTGCAACAGACTGCCTTGAAGAAATGAATAGGTAAGTTGTGTTTCCTCTTAATCGTGATGCATTCTTCATCATGGTACTCCAATAATTGAAAATAATATTTCAACTCACATAGAAATACACTCTCGGAGCATGATGTAATGGTGATTAATAGCGCTGTCAGTACTTGGTCCACTTAGGCCTCCATTAATTTTAGCCCATACATTACATGGTGTGGCTCACTTCGGTGAAATCTTCTGTCATGCCACGTCACAATTCTGCAAAGGTGTGTTAGAGAAGTTAGTTGTCTTGGTCTCATCTACATTCATTAGAATTTTTGTATGTTAATGGGCATAAAGTTTATCACACTTCTAACTCTTTGTTGATCAAGGCTACAAACATTACTGTGGGATAAATGTTTTGGTGTATAAAAACAATGCACACATACCAAAGCTCACGCTTAAGGGTATACCCACATGACGGGATATTTTATAGTTAGCCCTACTGACAGTCCACAGTAACACATGGCATGACCTAAAACCAGAGAAAAGCAATTTGAAATAGTTTTTTTTAAAACAGGAATGGGGTTGAACTAATGAGATGAATTTATTTTTCATGCCAGAATTTGAAAACAAAGAAAAACGCAACCCAAAAAAACCAACTCTCCCCCTGCCCCAAGAAAAACCCCAACAACAACAAAAACCCAATATTAATTAATTTTATTCATTGTATCACTGTCCTAACAAGGAACAGAGGCTAGCAAAGTTCAGCTGTTGGCATTGCTGTGTGTTTCTAAGTGTCCTTGGATGTGCTGGGAGGGCATTCGAAACTTTTCTGGACATGGCCCTGAACAACCTGATCCAACATTAAAGCTGGCCCTGCCGTGGGAGGGGTGTGGGAACAGATGACCTCCTGACGTGTCTTCTAACCTAAATTACTCTGTGCTTCTGTTTTGTGATTCAGTGATGAAGGCAGAGGTTAGATAAAGGTGGGGAGGTACCTTTGATCCTCAAAGGTAGAGTCAAATGTTCTACCTCCTCCTGTTATTTCGGTAGTTTGTTTATTCCCAGCTGAGGCAAAAAGCAAGGACACATGAGATGATGTTACCATACTTTGAAGTCTTAAATCTTCCCTGGTGTAGACTGCTGAAACTTTGAGATGTAGTTAGCTCTTTCTGTTCACAGACTTAGAAAGGCACAACTATCTCAGGATACAGCTGGACTTTTTTCTTTGGAATGCCAATGTCAAAAAATTATTTTTAAATTGAACATTTATATTCTGTGGCTTACATGGCCCTTTAAGAAATACTGTATTGAGGTATCAGACTGGCTGTATTAAAACAGTTCAGGCTAGTTCATCATCCACTGACGATGAGGAGGAGGAGGTTCAGTTCTCAGGAGTATCTCGCTGTGTCAAGCTGTTATTTTTAGGATAAAAATTTGCTGAAAAATATTTTTTCCAACATTAATAATGATCCATTGTTCAGTTATATAATGTGACTGAGATTTGTTTGCCCCAAAACTGAAGTGAGGATCTTCTGTTATGGTTTCTCCCTTGATTTTAGCTACTTTGAGAGCTATGATTTGTTGAAGTGCCATTGAGCATACCTTTCTATTATACCATAAAATGTTCTGACTCAAGGAAAACTAGGAAGTCTTGACATACATTCGATAAACTGCTCTTACAATATTCATTGATTTTTCTACACTGGGGAGCCAACGAAGCTGTCTGTATGACAGTTTACAGCCTTCGTGGAGAGTAACAGTTGGAAAGGTGCCGGGATGTATTTTCATATCATAGTGCCATGTTAGTTTGGAATTTGAGAACCTTTTTCCTGGATTTTTGGGTCTGTTTCCCAAGAGAAAAGAGAAAGGGCAAACTTCCTCTTGAAGTATTTTTTGCAGTATTTTTCCTTCAGAAATGCTGTTACTGTAGAGTAATTGGAATTCACTCCCCAGCCCAAATGATGGATTGCTATGCTACCTCTGTAAAGTCCCTGGGCATCCCCTGCAGCCTTTACATGTGTCCTGGAATTGCTTCTCCCAGATATCCTGTGTGAAATTTGAAATGAGTAAGCAAGATTCATAGGTGAAAAATGCATTTAGAATACTAATTTCACAAATCTCTATCTTCCCAGCAAATTGCTAGCCATGTAATCTGAGGAAATAGGGCAAATACTCTGCAAAATTTAAATGGATTTTCCATGCTGGCAGAAGGGTAAATCTTTCACGCTGAAAAGTAAAGGAGTTCTAATATGGAGAGGAACAACATTTCTTTATTCTCTATGTGAGGAAAGTATACCCTTTCTTCAACTGCATTTACCACCAGCGTTTGTTTTAACAGCTGTTTGCACAGTTTCTTACTTCAGATTCACTGTTTAGTAATTTTTTCCACTCCAGAATATTTTGATGTGCCTTTAGCGCTGCATTGCTGTTGAAAGAATTGTATACCAATGGGTAGTAATTGATTTGTATGTAGCAGATAGAGTCACTCTGTTGCAGCTGAATTTTGCCTGCTGGGTTGCATGGTGCAGGCAGACTTTGGTTTGCAAAATTAATGCTCATGCTGTTCTGTCAGGTCTTACATGAGCATAGTCGTGTTCTTAGAAATGAATTAATAATGCAATTGATGAGCTCATCTTTTGCTTGCCATGGTCACAGGGTACTCCAAGCTTGTTAAAGGCCTTATTTCCCAGAAGTGCTTCATCTATTACCATACCATGCATAACCTGTTCATAGCTTTAATACACCTACAGAAATTAGCATTGAATTTAATAGTCGGTTGTTTCACAATATCCACTTTATTTAAAACTTTCCTGTGATTAAAGTATGCAGTGCATTTACAATCTCCTCATGCACTCCAAATATTAAATTAAAAAAGTTCCCATTTTAGGCTGAATAATTTGATCACATTTCATTTGAATAACTGGGTTAACTTTGCAATTTTAATAACTCCCAAAAAACTTTTGCATTCATTCAAAAAATATAACAAATACCTGCTATCCACTGAAACAGAACAATGATTTCGTAGGGGTCACTCCCAATATTTTCCAAGTAAAGACCCAAGTAAAGATTCTAACAGAATATTTCTCTTAAAAAGAAACTGTTTGAAAATGTAATTATTTTGAATTAATTCTCTATTCATTATAAGCAAATTTCAGGGTGCATATCCTCTGTATTTTTATGGATGGAATATAACCCAGCGAGTTACTCGGTGCTTTCCCTAAATCATGCTGTTTATTACTGAAGTTCATTTGGCTGTCCTCCTTAAATTTTGAGCATTTAAATCTCCTTGGCGGATCTCAGCCAAATCAGATGGTGGGCCAGTATTAATGCATCTTTTACAGTTTTAATTTACTTTCAATATTCACTTACAAAGAAGCGATCACTTAAGAAAATATCTTGGCAACTAAAAGCTTCAGACATACGCCCCTATTAGTCATTGCCCCTCTTCAACAAGAGTTTCTGGAGAAGTAAGCATGAGAGTATTCACGTTAGATCTGTCTGTCCTAATTTAACAGTTCTTTAACAAATAAGCTAAGTAAGTTATTAAAGAGCTCTTACTCCCCAGTCCTGTACCCGATGAAAAGCAAAGAGCTAATTTTGCAGAACATGAAAGGTACTTTTCAAATAGAAACCCCCAAAATGGAGATTCCCAGTGGTGTTGTAAGTAAACATAAAGAGCAGGTTTCCCCCTTCTTCCTTTATGCTCCTATAAACTTGTTTCAAATCCAGGAAAAATAGTCTGTGCCCAAGGCCACTTCTGTCCTCTAATTTATTGTTCTCACATAAAAGCTCGTAAGTTGCAGTACAAGGAAAACAATTTTCTGATCAGAATTAGCTGCAGGCCCCAGGGACTGGGTGAAACCATGGTGTATATGGGAGTGAGCAGTGCGACAGCAGAGCTGCAGCGCTCCGTCTGGAGAAAATACTACACCAGGAAGCACTAGTAAGAGCTGTAAGTCTCCAAAATCTCCGGTTTTTGGCGACCCTCCTTTCTACAATATATGGACTACTTGCCATAGACTTGTGAACTACTGTTTCCCCCTTAATACAGTTTGAGAACCACTGGCTGGTAGCATTACACTAAAGGAGTTTACAATACACAATTGCAATTATCCAATACGCAGTCCAAATTAGCATTCAGGTGTAAATGTATCCCTAATGCACAGGAGCTAGGATTTGCATTGGCTTTCTGTACTAGTTTAAATTACAAAATGAACTTAATCAAATTCTGCTGTAAATAATACCGTTGTGAATTGGAATAGTTCTTCTGGGAGTCAGCAAGTTCAACTGCATTTCCTGTAGCAGATTTTGTGATGACAGTGCTGTACCTCTCCTTGATGAATGGATGTGCATTACAGCCACATATTGTGATGTTATACTGGAGATACTAAGTTAACATGGCAAAATCCAAAGTTTTTAGTAATAGAAATAAGTAATATACACAAATAAGTCAGGCATTTAACAGTATTGTTTGGCCTATTTGATCGCATTTCTTTGAGTATGTGGAAGTAGAATTACATAATTTCACAATAAAACATCCCATCTCTTAAAAAAAAAAAAAAAATCCCCTCTAAAACCCCCCAAAACCCACTCATACCTTTTCAGGCCATACTAAACTTAGTTCTCTTGCTCATAAAAAATGTTCCATTTCTCCAAAGCTTTATTTTGGGCCAATCATTGGGTGAAAGCTAGGGTAAAAGCTTGAATAACTGAGCGAAATTACAGCATGCATTAAATGTTAAGAAATCCTGGCTTGGATTCCTTTTTACAGCTTTTCATCCTTACCTGTACTTTTGTAAGAACAGCAGAAAGACTATCTGGCAAATACTATCTGGTTGTAGCTGCTGAAGCATATATAATACCACGGTCGGTGTAGAAAGCGGTAGGTGCATGCAGCAGCTAGTACTTGCCTTTAAGTGGATGCCCAGAAAGTTTGGTGAATTATCCAGAGTAACACGGTAAAATCCAATAGGAAGAGGTTACAGTAGGGCGAAATCCAGCAGCTGCATTTGACTAATGAAGAAAATATCTCATTGTCATCTTAATAGA